ATCTGGGGGAACGTTTGTTCACCAGAGCGCCCCAAGGGATGACGAGGTCGAATGGTCACAAACTACTTCAAGATCGTTTCAGGCTGGACATAAGGAAGAATTTCTTTACTGTCCGAGCCCCCAAGGCCTGGAACAGCCTGCCACCGGAGGTGGTTCAAGCGCCTTCATTGAACACCTTCAAGATGAAACTGGATGCTTATCTTGCTGGGATCCTATGACCCCAGCTGACTTCCTGCCCTTTGGACGGGGGGCTGGACTCGATGATCTTCCGAGGTCCCTTCCAGCCCTGATGTCTATGAAATCTGACCATTCCACAGTATTAACTAGTCTCTGGTAGTCTCACTGATGTGCTATAATCCTGTTTCAGGACACTTATGACACGTAGGTCAAAATTTTGTACAGTGACTAGTTGTTTTGAAACAGTGTAATTTGTAGTTAGAACAGTAGTGGTCTGAGCCACAGGTCTGAGAGCGGAGACCAAATTCGGATGTCCAGACATTGCATGAACTTGAACACATCATTTGACACTTTTCTCCATCTGTAAAATGAGGATATTTACATCATTACTAATGTTATGCACCACAGAATTTATGGGCCTGGTCTATGAGGTGCTAATTGCAGGGTTTAGTTGGGTTTAGTCTCTAGTTCTCAGATCTAAGAGACATCAGATTACAATTAAAGCAAATGGGAGTCGAAGAATACAGATGTCGAGGTTCACATTTAGCAATTCAGAATTAACTGGTTGGGAGGAACCAGTCATTGCACTACTCAGTTGCTGTTTTCTTGTTTTAGCGATTTGTTACCCTGAAGCAGACCCCTAGAGTGACACCAGTAAGGATCCAAACATGACTAAAGACGAAGAGTTACCAGACTTTCACTCATCCAAGGAATTTTATGAGAACTATGAGCCCAAGGAAATTCTGGGCAGGTAAAGTGTGACTTTCTCCTCTAGACCAATGTTCTGTAAAGTATGAGGCAAGTCTATCCATACCATTCTTGCAAGGGTCCCCCTAACTTAGAATTTAATCATCTTTAAGAAAGACTTTAGCCCTCTCTGTGCTACATGCATAATATTGATGCAATTTTTGATCCTAAAGGGTTTGACAAAGGTGCCCAAGACTAGTAAAATGTGACTACTTTTGGGGGGAGGAAGTGGGGGCACACTATGATAGCTCCCTAACAGTGAAGAAAAGACCTGTCTGACAAATTGTCTTCAGGCATGACTTCTTTCATGTGTTTGTAACAGGTACTGTATTTGGATTTAGTGATAAGTCAGCAGACAGGCATGTGTGTGGATATTTTTGGATAGTAAAGGAGTTTGGCTGAAAAAACAACAATAAAACTAGCTCCTCTCCCTCACATATACACTTCAACTTGCAAAGGACTGATCTTCATTCATAGTGCTGGCCTGTGCCACTCTGAAGAATTTAAACTATTCCATAGGCATGTAGTGACCTGGGATTTTCACACTTGGAGTAACATTTTCCCAAAGTATCCAAGTAACTTAAGAGCCTAGGTCTTATGAAAATTAAACATGGCTTAGGCTGCTGAGTGCTTTTTTTTCCAAATGGCACTTTTGTTGCTAAAACACCTGGGCACTAGTAGACATGTCACCTACAGTGTTGGAAAAGGCTGAGAACATCTCTATTGCTTAGGTCAGATTTTTCAGGTTTGGTAGGCTGCTAAATTCATATTTAGGCACCCAGATGGGAGAATTTCAACTTTCAGGGATGCTGAAGTCAGTCAGCAACTGTGAGTAAAGTTATTGGAAGTTATTGGAGTAAAGTTACTGCTACAGAACTGCAGTACATTTCCATGAAAGCAAAACATCTAAGGGAAGACACGCTTCTCCAGTAAAAGAATAATAAATGATTATTGAGCAACAGCTTTTGATTCAGGTCGGAGGGTTGAAGCAGCATGAGAGGAGAGTAATCACTGCAAGGACAGGTTCAAGATTCAGATCTTGAAACTCACAATTCAGAGGTGTTTAGATCTGGGGCTTTATTTCACTTCAGACCTATTTTGCATAGCCATCATGCACTGAAGTCTCAGAAGTGGCTAATCGTTACACAGACAGTGCTACTAGAGATGCTCAGAATTCCCTTGGGCTGGCTGCAGGTTGGAACATGCTGGTTCCTCTCCACCTTCCCACTATCAAATAGGAAGAGTGGGCCGAGTCCGTAGTATTCATTCCTAAAGGTCATTTGATAAGTACTGTTCTGCTTATAAACCTCAGCCTGACATTGTACAGCCCTGTGAAGTGCTTGCTGGAATGCAGCTGTGAACAATTAGCCAAGAGCAGTCCAAGAACTCAGAAGACACTTGAAGCAGATGGCAGGCCAGTGTGGCACCTTTATAGATCAACAGTAATTCAGATTCCAGCCCTATGAACTGGGAAAACCTGTGGAATGATCACAGGAAAATAAGAAGAAGATATGACAATTACAGGAGGTAGAGTCATGCCAGCACATTGCAGAGCATCATTAGCTACATCTGAAGCTAACAGGATTATGAGGGTGTAAGAGGCCTGCAATTTGGCCCAATAGAAATATAGCTTATATAAATCATTAAGGGAAATGGTTAAAAAATTAGGGCTCTTGCTGATGTCAACAGGAAGTGAGGCCTCTCAGAATCCCCCAGGAATCACTTCCTACCAATAAGGATCTGGCCCACAACAAACAATTTCCAAAGAAGCAGCTTTTGCATCCAACCATTACAGTACTGTGCTGGGGCAGGAGAACCAAGGAATTAAACTAACCAGAAACTGTCTGACTCTCTTGATCTTGTCTTTGTTTTGGTTCTGGCAGAGGAGTAAGCAGTGTGGTCCGTCGGTGTGTTCACAAGACAACCAGGCGGGAGTATGCAGTTAAGATTATAGACATCACAGGTGGTAGTATGTCCCCAGAGGAAGTGCAGGAGCTGCGGGAAGCCACTGTCAAGGAGATTGACATTCTTCAGAAGGTCTCGGGACATCCCCATGTCAGTAAGTCCAAACTTCTTTGGTTGGACCCCAGCATATTCTATGATCGGTATTCTCAATCTCTGTGCCAGGTATTCCCAAAAGATTTCAGATTTGGATTAAAACCTTTGATTCCTTGAACTGAAACCCCGACAGAGAAGGTATCTTGGCCATTTGTGGATGCCCACTTGGTGGTGTCCGATGGCACCAGCTTGCAAGCAGCCAATAGGAGTTGGATCAAGTCCTAAATGGGCAGAGTGACAGAGAGTCCTCCTGCTACTCGCTGCTTCCCCTCAGATTCATCGCTATTCAGTCAGCATTGCTGGACATGGCACACTGGCACAGACAGCAACTGCTACAATCAGGATCAAAACATTCTACTGAAATCTGCAGCTTGGGAGGATAGATGAGAAGAGGGGTTATGGCCAGACATAAAAGTCACTGAAATCAATGGAAATGGCTTCCATTGACTTCAGTGGACTCAGAGAGGATCACTGCATTGGGGGTTAGTATCTATAAAGGTCTCTGTGTGTGGGTGTGCAGGAAATTGATATGATCAGTGTGCTGCTGAAACAGCAAATCAACAGCAGGCAAGAGACTTCTCCAGAGCCTGCTGTTGTCACACACAGTTCCTCTGGACCCTGGCTCCAGCAGCCTAAAACCTGGCCCTCAATGCCCCAGTAGTCCTATGTTTCACTTGTTCATGACTCAGCTTTTGCAAAAAGCCTGTGATACAAGGAGGGCAGCACCTCAGGAACAGCTTTCCAGTTCCAGCTGCCTGGTGCAGGCTTTCTGAGAAAGGTTGCATTGCCAGTTCCAGGGATCAGCTAGCTTCTCTTTAAATGATTCCAGGAAGTCCCTTTCATGGAGGTGCCCTTGGAAGACGGAACAGGAAAAACGCCCTGGCAGGGGAAGGACAGGGTGTCGCTCAAATCAATCTGCCGGCAGGGCAGAAACCTCCTCCGCTGCAGAGTCCTGGGAAACAACGCTAACAGCAAAAATCACCACCAGCCTCATATTCTCCCCCTTTTTGGGGAAGAAGAACAAGCTGTGTTGGATTTCCATAAGGAGACAGTATCCCAAGATATGTTTTGCCCACTGCAATGACATAAGTTAACCAAACACAGGTAGTCAGGACTCTGGGCTTCCATCTCTTCTGAATGAAGACGCCTCTTGCAGCCATGTAGTCCCTAATGCCATGACAGAGCTGATTCTGATTCAGAAAGGAGCAGGTCATTTGCTGCATCTCCTATCTACACTTCCTGCAGCACTTGAAGCGTCCTTGTGGGTCTCCTAGCCAGGCCCTAACCAAGATCAACACTGGTCAGGATTTTCTCCAGGTGCCTCCTCACATGTGCTGAGCTCCCACTGACCTCAGTGAAGACAGAAAAAGTATCTAAGCAACTTACAAGTCTCTGTTTTAACATGGGAGCTCAAAATGGTCTCACTGGGCATATCTACACATGTATTTATATGCACCTAAACTTAATGCACCTTTGCTTAACACGCGTTGCACGTCCAGATGCACTAATGCACATTAATGTGGTGTGTGTCCATTGACACACACCGCATTAATGCACATTAGCACGTCTATACATTCACTAGTGCGATTTAGTTATTCATGCCTAAATTTGAAATCTGCTTTCTGCAGGTATCAAATTTAGGCTCACCTAGCCTTAAATCACCATTTTTAAACATGTGTTCTTAATGCGATTTAAAAATTGTGATTTTAGGCTAAACCCACTTAAAAAGAGGTACATTTGGATGCACCCACTGTGAAGTCCCTCACCTGCTTCTGGGGGTAAGGGAACAGTTATCTCATTGGAGAAGGGAGTATAGCTTTTTTTCTACACACACACAGCCCAGGGCAAGGTCACAGCACTGCATCTAATGATTTTCAATATCATGATTTTTTGCAGTTCAGCTGAAGGACAATTATGAATCCAGCACCTTTTTCTTCTTAGTGTTTGACCTGTAAGTACCATTTTGATTATTATCTCAGGGCTTTTGGGATGATCAGTGGGACAGATTCTTACGCCTGGGTAAATCTGACTGAAGTTGATGGCATTTATATTGATATGCCTGGGAACAGTATCTGGGTTTATTGCTATCACAGTCCCAAATTAAAGCTGATAATGTAAGGGAATGTGGTTTGCACTGGCAACAGAGCTTCCTGAGCTAGATCAAATGCTGGCGTTAAATGTAAGCAGGTCAAGTGATGGGCTGTCATTCCAAGCAGTTCCTGGCATCATACTCTCCTCAGGCAGTGAAATGATGTACAGAGCACAATTCAGATGTAGACACAGTATATCTGGAGTATGGATGCATGTGGCATGACTCAGCCAATTATCTGCCTCTGTAAACATTTTGAAGGGTTTTGGTTGGGCAAAGGAGAAGTTTCTCTCTTAAAATCAACTGTGTACTTTTATGTCTGTATCTCAGGGGAGAGAGGGACCTGAGTCACTGATCTGCATCTGTCTCTTGGGCAGTGTTCAGAGTGGGGTTCTGGCTTGGATGTAGCTACATAAGCAAAAGCAAAGGAAGCAGTCAAAAAAAGAGCGATGTTACTGTCTTAGACACCTTCAGCCTTCTCAGGAGCTGTATTCTCTTTGCCCACACACCAGCTTGACTAGCAGAGGGAATGTTGTTCAGCCACATCACCTGTGCCAGGCAATGTTAGGTCAAGAATGGACACAGTGCAGATGGATGTTCCCAGCCACCAGTAAATCAATCACCAGAGTGACAGGTGGGAGGAGGTGAGTGGCAAAGTAGGGAGGGGATGTTAGTGATGGGGAGAAACAGCAGCAGCACTTTGCATTTCCACAGCATCTTCCCTGTGAGATTCTTAAAGCACTTCACAAAGGAGTGTTCAATGAGCCTCAATAGTCCAGTGGGGCAAGGAGGTGCTGCCACCCTCCTTTTATAGCTCAGGGAGTGGGGTAAATGGCCCATCCAAGTTCATGAAGCAAGTCAGTAGTGGAGATGAAAAAAAAAAGCCCGGAAATCCTAGTTCCTAGCCCCATGCTCTAACCCTTTACCCTCTAACCCTTGGGCAGGGCTGTAGCTGATAACGCCACATTGGTGGGCAATCCCTTGGCAAAGATTAGGGATAACACTTCCTTTGAGTTTGTCTGACTGCCACAATGGAGACTCAGGCCAGCCTGGGTGAGATGGGCAGCACCTTTTTTAGAAAGGTACCCTCCTTCCTGGCCTTGGGTGGAACTGAGGGGACAACTGTAGCCAGGAAGGGAATGGCCAAACCTCACTGAAGGTGCAGAGTGGAAAAAAAAGCCTGCCTTGCTATCACCCTGGTTCAGGTAGAGGCCCTATTCCGAGATGCTGTTGCTCCCCTTCCGTCCAGAGGCTTTGGCATTAGTAGTGATTTTCATGAACGCCCAAGGAGCTGGCTGCTTAAATGAGATCTAAGAATAAATCTTTTGTCAGCAGAGAACAGGCCAGGCTAGAGTGCACTTCACCACTGCAAAAGGGGATTTATGAATGGAATTGCACACAGGCCCAAAAAAACACCTAGCGCCCAGCAGTGCATTGTAACGTATCCCACTGTGCCAGTACTCAGTGTTGACCCTACACATTATCTCCCCTACTGCAGCAGTAGCTTCTCCAGCTCTCGGAGGGATGGTTGCACCTGTCCCAGTGGCCGTCATTTGTCAAGCAGCCCTCCCTCCTCTCTGCAGGAACAAGTGGGCTTGCTCAGGTTTCCCCGTAACCTTTGCTGAAGTCTGTCATAGCTCCCAGGAGTCTATTTATACACTCGGCTCTGCCTGCATCCACACAAGTGTCCACAGCTTGTGTAACACTGATTTCTCATCAGTCAGTCAGCTGATTATTTTACCCAGCTCTTTAGAAATTAACCAAGTGGACTGTGAAAAGGGTTTGCTCTGGTGTTTAGGCCTAGTCTGTGTACAAAGGGCACTGCTGTGTAGAGACACCCTTGGGTAATTAGCCCTGAGAAGCCGGACAAAGTGCCAGAGTATCATGGCTGTACTGTTTTTGGTTCTTAAGGCAGCTCATTCTGGTCTAGTCCAGGTACCTCTGTCAGGCATTTCCTTGTGCCCTGTAGACACCCAAAGAATTGCAGTACTTGATCTAAACCAGCTGGACTTTATACATAGGAAACTCCCACTGAAGTGCCCTTCTAGAATTGCTCTCAGTTAAGCCCAGTTGCTGAATTGTGTGTTGTGTCTTAGGCATTGTTTCTGAAAGGTTTTGGTGCCATTGTATACCATTTGTGGTCAGGCTATGACTCAGCCATGCATCTTCGTCTCTTTTCTTCTTAAACATAGAATGAAGAGAGGGGAGCTCTTCGATTACCTCACAGAGAAAGTCACCTTAAGCGAGAAGGAAACTAGGTAAGTCGAGAATGAATTGAACAGCCTAGAGATTGTTCTTGCTTCTGCCTGGTCAAAGAGGCAGCTTTGACCTCCTTGGTAGCAAACTCCCCCTGAAAAGAGATTGCTAAGTCAGAAGCGGTTTCTCACAAATCAGCTTTCAGCTTCCAGTTGCCTAAAAATGCTGCTCTCCATTGGCAGCTCAGTAGGGAGGGCAACTAACACAATTTCTGGCACCTTTTGCTCTATGCTTACCTTCAGTGAAACACAAGAATAGCTGGCATCTATTCAGCTGGTGTTATAGAGCAAAGTTAGATATCTGGATACTCTATCAGCCTCTCCATGGACTGCCACCTTGATGAGGTGGAGAGGCTTGCATGTACCAAGAACCCTAAGCGCAACACTATCGGGAGTCTAGTACTCCTGGTAGGGTCACCTATGGTGGTAAGGTCAAAGGTGGTAAGGTCAAAGGAGGTATCAAATGAAGAGCAGTCCAACACAACACAAAGACCTCAATAGTGGAGCAGGTGGATGCAGAAGGCACACTTCTCAATGGCTGCAAAGGTGGATGAAGGCTGCAGTGGAGGAGTAACCCCAATTGTCTTGGACCCCTTGCTGCTGAACACAGGTGTTTTCCCTGCCAAGCATGGGTGACTGGTGCCTTCTGAGTCGGAGGGGGGCAAGGGGACTTGCCCCCCTAATGGGGGTGGGGGTCCCCCCGCGGCCCATTGCACTGACCCACTGGTACTTCCAGGTCTGCGTGATTGGCCATGAGGGAATCTCCCCCCTTCTCTCCCCCTGGTCATCTTTCTTGCAGTCATCAAGATGCTCATCTGTGACCATCTGCCACATGGCATCGGCACTGAGTACAGGATGGATGGAACCTTTCCAATCTCTCCCACCTCCATGCCAAAACCTGAGTTACTTCGCCTTCAATTTTGGAACTTCAGTTCACTGACAATTGTGCTGTTGCTGCACATACTGAGGACCTACAAATGGGCCTTAACTGCTTTCTCAAGCATACCAGTACCTGGGACTGACCCTTAACATCAGAAAAACAAAGGTGCTTCACCAGCCTGCTCTGGGACAATCAACTCCTACCCCCCAACAAAGATCCTCATTGACAGACAGGAGTTAGAAAATGTTGAACACTTTGCATCCCTCGGCAGCCAGCTCTCAAAGAAGGCCAATATCGATGAGAAGATTCAGTACCGGATCTGATGTGCCAGCTCTGCCTTTGGAAGACTGAATCATTGCGTGTTCAATGATCATGACATCAGGACTCGAACACAGCTCCTACTATATAAGGCTGTGGTAATCCCAACTCTTCTCTATGGTTGTGAAGCTTGGGTGACCTAAAGGGACCACCTGAAAAGCCTGGAATGCCATCACCAGCTCTACCTCTAGAAGATCCTTGGCATAAAGTGTGAGGATCGTTGTACAAATGCCAGTGTCCTCATCAATGCTAACACTGCTAGTATGGAACCATTGACTATTCAGCATCAGTTGCGGTGGACAAGGCATTGTGTGCACATGTCTGATGTATGCTTACCAAAACAACTGCTCTACTCAGCCAAGGACAAAGGACATGTGAGGGCCAGAGGAAATGCTTCAAGGACACCCTCAAGGCAAACATTAAGAAGTGTGGCATTGACACCACAAATTGGGAAAAACTAACCTGGGACAGGGCTACATGCCGATGCTTTGTGAGAGATGGCACATCTTACTTTGAAGAAAATTGTCTCACCCTGGAGGCAGAAACATGACAGAAATGGAAGGAAATAAAACAAGACTGAGAAAGCTTTGATCTGACCCTCCCTCTAACCACTACCTGTGGCATTTGCCAGAGAGTCTGTGGCACTAGGATTCATCTACAACCCTTTAGAGAGTGATCAGAAATTTCCCTACTACCTGAAGGAGTGATCATCCTTGACTGTGAGGGATCTCCACCACTGCCAGCTGTATCAGATGCTAAGGTTAAAAGCTATACCATACTCATCTGACCACTTGGAAGCAGGACATACTACGTGCATCTGCCACATTTTGGGCCTGACTGGTGGAAGGGTATGGGAGGGAAATGGGATTTGTCTTTTGGAGGAACTATATGGCTGAAAGGTGGATTTCTTCCATTGTCACCCCGTTTTTAGGAAGGTCATGCGTGCTCTGTTGGAAGTGATTGCATATCTCCATTCCTTGAACATTGTCCACAGAGACCTGAAGCCTGAAAACATTCTCCTGGATGATGACATGAACATCAGACTAACTGACTTTGGCTTCTCCTGTCAGTTGAATAAGGATGCAAAGCTCAAAGGTAAGATGACTGCTTGATCCCAGAGGAATCAAATAGATGGAAATGACCTACTGGATTCTCCAGGCCAGCTTCTTGGCAGGTCAGGATTTCTTCTTCAATCTGTTCTCCAGTCTTGTCCAGTCTCAGCTGTCAAGTCTGGGAGACAGTTAAGCAGGCTTTTTGTCAGGAAGTTCATCCTCAGTTTCCTTATTCCCCGCTTTCTTGCTCGCTCTCTCTCTGGTGGTCTGTAGCTGCACTCTTTCAAACTGTTATCTGTTAGCTTTCCCCTTCCTGAGTGTTCACACTCGTTTCCCATTGAGAGCACAGTTTTCAGAGGCACAGGTGACTGTGAGGCACCTAACTCCCTTTGCTTTTGTCACTGTTCATGTAATAAGGTATAGCTTATCAGAGGAATATAATATCAAGATCCCCATGCATTGCTGTCATATAACACACTTGCATTGTTGCTAGAAACATTCCATCTAGGAGCACCCATTTTTCTGAGATGAAAAATCCTATCCTTCTCTTGCAGAAATCTGTGGCACTCCTGGGTATCTGGCACCTGAAATATTAGAATGTTCCATGGATGAAGAACATTTAGGGTATGGAAAGGAAGTTGACATGTAAGTAGAACATTCCTATATACTGAAAAATTTCCCTACTACCTTTGGAACTACCTTCTCATGGCATTAGTCTGAGGTTTACTGCAGAACTTATCATGGCCTAGGTTGAGGGGATGTGCAAGACGAGCTTGCTAGTACAAATGAATCACCAAGCACAAGACCTGAATAGCAACTGCCGCTGCCTGGAACCGATGAACAGTCTCATATTAAATAGTGCATCAAGCAGATGCCATCTTGTAATTGTACTGGTGGCCTAAAGAAATGGGCTACTAGTCTGCACACAGGGGCCAGAGACAAGAGTGGCAACCTTCTAATACCAGTTCTGACCAATGCTTTTTGCCTCTGATTCTTTGCTATCCTTCACCGGTTTTGCAGAGGTATGATGAGAATTAATTTCACTAAAGCAATCTGAAGCAGAGAACCCATGATTGTTATCAACAGTTGTCTCTACACTTCAGATAGCAGCACTTGACTACCTGCTTTAGTGGTGCTGCTTTGCCAGAGTAACGCTGAAAACCACTAAAATACCACTAACAGTAATAAATGATCTACATCTGCCTGGGTGTCCAGTATGGTCTTATGGCTTCTCAGTGAAGCCTATAGTAAAGTGTGAAGTTTGCTTTTACACCCACTAATAGAGCAGTCCGTAGTTTTGCCACAGACTTGAATAGAGGCAGCTGCTGTGGAGATGAGCAGCTGTGAGCAGGCAAAAAAAACTTGACCTACTCGATCCTTGTCACAGTTGCCCCTCTCTTTTTAGCCTACATTAAACTGGACCCTGATTAGTCTCATAGGTGCAAAGCACATTTGCTGTACAAGATCCCCTTGCTAGCCCCTTCCAGCTTGATTTAGCATTTATGGCCCATGCAGGCCTGAATCCAGCTTTGTAACTGGGCCTTCTGGCATTGTCAAGCTGAAACTCCTAGACCTTGAGGACAGTTGAAGCCCAGGGCTGGATCAGGATTTTGCAGCCTATTCCTGTCTCTACTGGACTGTCACCATGCAGCATGGTGGATACTGGTGCATACTGCTACTGCCCGGCATTGCTGTTTGCAGGTGGAGTACTGGTGTGATCATGTACACGCTGCTAGCTGGCTCCCCACCCTTCTGGCACCGGAAGCAGATGGTGATGCTGCGGATGATCATGAGCGGAAATTACCAGTTTGGGTCTCCAGAGTGGGACGATCGGTCGGACACAGTCAAAGATCTGGTAAGTGCTCACCTGCTGCCAAAGGAATAGAAGGGGAGGTCACCTCCTATGTTAAACAGTATGATCTGATGGACAGGCAATGGCAGGAGTCAGGACCTGGGTTCTGTCACTGACGCTGAGTGACCTTGAGCAAGTTACTTACCGTAATCTCTCTGGGCCTTTTAATGTCTTGTGTTTAGATTGTTTAGGGCCGGGACTGTCTCCAACCCTGCGCTGGTATATAGCCAGATTAGGGCTTGAGTGTAATGCAAATAACCAGAGGGCCGTTTCCAGGCAATGCTATCATTGTACTGTCTCTAGTCTTGGGGAAATAAAGACAGATAAGTATCCTGCATTACTGACTGACAGAATGCTTCTGGGGAACAATGAGAAGAGATGGGCCTGACAGAGAGTGAAGATCCACCTGCCTGTGTTTTTCCTGCAGATTTCTCATTTCCTGGTGGTGAATCCTCAGAAGCGTTACACAGCCAGCGAAGCTTTGGCTCATCCATTCTTTCAACAGTACATCGTGGAAGAAGTGCGGAGCTTCAGCCCTTTCAGAAAATTCAGGGTAAGTATGATTTTTTTGAGATCTTTCTATCCTGATGACAACTGTTTAAATGGAAGATGCTTCAAGTATATTGGACATGAGACCATATAAACATTTCACTCTGATTATTAAATATTTACTTGAGTCAGCAGATATAGTCCCTTCCCAACATGTAGGCTCTGACACTGGCTCCCCCAGGCTAAAGTAGAGTAGAATCAGGTCCTTAGATAGGGATCCAAACTCATCTCTAATAATATGGAAGAAAATAATAGGAGCTAGTCAAAATGGGCTTACCCATTATATATTAATGATTTGGAGATGGAACCACAGTGCAAATACTGGATATGCCAGCAATGACTGGCTGAAAGCCAGCATGATAGCAGAGACCATTTTATTCATTATCTTCATTATCTGACCTATCCTACTGCAGGGGGTACATTTGCTTTTTGGCAGGTGTACCACAAATTTGCTCTGTATCCTCCCCAAGTGCCACTTTAATCTCCTTGCTCGCTCTGATCTGTTTGTGCTTTCTGCTCCCTGCCCTGTGCTCCCCACCTGATCTGCTGCTCTGTTTTGTTTCCTGCTCTGTGTTCCCCCCAATCTGCTGCTCTGCTTTCTGCTCTTTGCCCTATATCTACTGCTGTGCTGCCAGTCCTCTCCCAGGTCTGTCATATGTCATTTGTAGTACATGTGCCACAGGTTGGCCACCCCTTCCCTAGTGTTTTTTTTTTCTGAAAGCATTAATGGATGAAGTGTGTTACAAGGAGGGGTTTTGATGGTAGTCTTATGTAGAGTTTAGGTTATAGTTTGTATGGGATGGATAGGGATGATCTTGCCTCAGGCAGGGGGCCGAACTAGATGATTTCTGGAGGTCCCTTCTAGCCCTATGTTTCTGTGACCAAGGAAAGGGTAACTTTAGGAAATAATTAGTACATGGGAGACAGAAGTGAATCTCCCTCCATGCTAAGTGGAAAATATGGAGACAATTTCTCCTTCTCTAATATATACAGTTATAGAAATATTAGGTATTATAATAACATTAGGTTAAGCATTTAAAGAAAGAAGTAGAATAGGTAAGTTGATGCCATCCCATACACTGATCATGAAGTAAAAATTCTGGCCTGAAAGGTAGGCTGCCTTTATTAATAATAATGTTATTGCCATCTTCTTTCTAAGCAGAAGGCTTCCTAGGTGCAGGCCCCCCCCCCACTTCCCTCCTTCACACTGTCTGAGAGACTGAATCAGTTTAAACTGATGAGCTATTGATTAGATTCATTTTGCCAAGGTGCCTGAAAGGAGGGTTCAGCATCCATTAAATTTCCAATTGCATTTCAGGTCATCTGCCTGACAGTTCTGGCATCCGTCCGCATATACTATACCTATCGGAACGTGAAGCCAGTTACCAAACAGTTGGTAACGCAGAACCCCTACGCATTGAAACCCATTCGCAAACTGATTGATGCCTGTGCATTCAGAATCTATGGACACTGGGTGAAGAAGGGAGAAGCACAGAACAGAGCCGCCCTGTTTGAGAACACCGCCAAGGCAATTTTGATGAGCATAGCAGCAGAGGAAGAGCTATATTGATTTACCTGGCTAAAGCTGCACCCACACCGAGTAAGCTTAAGAGTTTGCTAAGAGTTTAAGCAAGTAAAACCTTTGGAAACTAACAGCAGTCTCCTTCATAGTTTCCTAAGGAAAATCTCAATTGATAACAATGTCAACACTGTGTGGGTCAAATAATGATATCCTTTCTTTGCCTCAGTCCTTCGAGTTACCCATGTATACAGCCCCTGCATGGACCCATTGAACTCCAATGAGTTGTCTACATCAGGTATCTGCATATTATACTGATTCAGGACATATTTAAGAAGCGGCCTCTAATTTTGCAACTGTAAGTAACTTCAGGTACAAAAGACTCTCAGCAGAGGCAGATGGACATCCTAAGCACCACAAGCTATGCCCAAAATTAATTGGACACACTTTTTTGTACACAATTCTTTTTTGGCTTGGCATGACTTTTGAGCACAAAAATGCAGGTAAGGAAGCAGCAGCCTTTAAAATGCAGCTCACCAAACAGAAAAGCCCAAAGCAAAATCCCAGCTCTGAAGTTTGGATCCAGCTCAAAGTCTGAATTCTGCAGCTCTGGTCTCTATTTTAGAGAAAAGCAACCAAAAAAGAAAGGATGATAGGGAACATTAGTGCTACTCAGATCATCACCTTGCCCACTCACAGGCAGAACACAGGGGCATGCTCCCTTCAGATCTGGTAAGGAAATAATTTAATTAACTACTTTTCAGCCATGCAGAAGCCTCTGAAGTAAGGTGCACTATGTTGTTTCTGTCGTTATCATTTGCTACAAACATCCTCAGAATTTGGGAGCTGTTTGCCCACACTGTTGCAATCAGCGCGGGTGCAGGGAATGAAGTTTGAAAAAAAGCTGATAGGATTGGGGCCTGCGTGTCTGGCTGAGGCTAACTTGAGATTTCTAGTTACAATTAGTTTCTCATGAAAAGTGCAGATTTCAGCCAGCTGAAATGATTAATGCATTAGGATCACATTTGACTAATTGTTTTGGAACATTTTCAAAGTAAGATTTTGGATTTTGCATTTCTCAAGTTTTTCATTTAGCAGTTCACCTACAACAAATTTTAGAAGGTAAAAAAAAACCCCAAAATGAAGCAGTTTTTGCTTGACCCTCAGTGTGGGGTTTTTTGTTGTTGTTTTTCTGTTCATTTATATCAAGTCAATCAAAACAACATTTTTTGCATTTTCCCTAATTCAATCATTCTTCTGGAAACAGCATTCAGAACCTTAATATTAATGGACTCAGCTCACTCTTTCCTTTCTTTCAGTGATGGGCAGTATTGTGAAGTGGGCACTGCTTTTAGTCAGTAAATGCTATTATGCCATTAGCACTGCTCGCTTCAGCTACAGCAGTAAATATCTAAGCACTCTTTAAGCATGGGAGACAGTTTTGCTCCAAGATTTTAATGCTTTAGGTTAAAGAGCAACAATTCATTTTATACAGCTGTGATTTAGGCTTTTAAACACCTATTGAATGAAGGAAAATGTACACTGCAGCTAACATTGACCCATGCATTGCATATTCATTGAGAAGTTTTAAAAGGTACGTGGCTAGTACATAGAACTTACATTGCTCAAAACATCCAGTGGGTTTGCTCTATTTATTTCTATTTATTTTATCTGTGCGTTCAGAAATAAATATATATGGTTTTGTAACTGTTTACATTTAACTGTTTAAATGTCAATAAATGTGCTTCATTTTACTTAGCTGGTGTGCTGGGCAATTGTTAAGATGCAGCACTTTTAATTCTTAATAGAAAGCAATGTAATAATATTAAGAATGGGTAGTAAAGAGATTTAAGGAGTTAACATGACCAAACCCCATTGACTTTCAATGGGAGTTAGCGGCCCAGCCCTCATAGCCATGCTTTTGTAGTCCCAGCCATAATACTTAAGCATTTATCTTCGAAGTGCTATAGAACTTTGCAGGGATGGATCCAGGGTGGTGCAGCAGTGCTTTCATTC